TCGACCCACCTTTGCCAGTCTTCCCCTTTTCCCCCCACCCCAACTCCCCCTCGTGGCGTTTGGAGGTAGCCCCAAACGCGTTCACTGGAGGTAGGCGCAAACGCAGTGCCGCAAACGCGTTCACTGCGTTTGCGCGTTCAAAACAATGAATGCGCGGTTACAGAGGCGTAGTCACACAGCGCGTAGCAAATTGGTAAATCCAAATTGAATGCCGATTTGCGAAATTGCCCACTTGTGGTGTCGCACAATGAAAGTAGTTGATGGATTCCTGCGATTCTCTTCTGTGAGCTCACAGATTCTGGGGTGGGGGAATTACCACCACCTGCCAGTGGAGAGGGGTGGCAAATTGCTCAACCCCGCAGCCCTTCAGGCAAGCGGGCAAGCCGGCATATTGTGTCAAACCAATTGTGAATTTGATGAGCAAGCGGCATATTGACTGCAGAACTGTCATAATGGCAAATTTTGCTGTTTTGCCAAGGAAGTCCCTAGTGTGAGGGCCTGCTCACGCAAAGGACATTTTTGGCAAAATAGCAAAATTTGCTATACATTTGCAGTCGCACGTTGCCATCGTGTGAGTAGGCCCTTACCCCATTTAGCAAGAAGGGCCTATCTGAAGTCGAATCTGGCAGGAATACAGTGCCTTGTTCATAATCCGGTAGGAAGAGGCTAACGGGTTGGCATGGACAGTATCTACCAATTTTCCCAGTGCACATTGCACTGGTCCCATCTGAGAGGGAGAGGCCTGCCACCACTTTAGGAAAAGCTTCCCACGACCTTTCCCAGGCGAAGCTGAGAATCGAAAACGGGCAGGATTGGCCTTTGGGGCCGAAATTAGTTCTGGATCCCAGTCGGGACAGTAATATATCATGGTGATGACTTTTAAGATGATATTAATGAGTTTGTTCAACTGAGCTAGGACTATGATGATCATCATCACGAGGAGGATGATGAGGAGTGCGTGTCGCGATGATGGGCCTCGCTGCACTACTCTCGAAATGTGCAAAACGAGAGTGAATCTTCCGTTAGAATATGGAAAGATACACGGCCATGATTTTTGTCTTTTGTGCATTTCAAGAGTAGTGCAGCTAGGCCCGATGATGATGCTGAGGAAGAGGAGGGAAGGGGGTAACCTATGACGATGACCAGCAACCAGTACACGCCCCCAGCCTCGCGGAAAAATGAACTTGTCGCCACAAGAAGATTCCCCGCCTCGGGGAAGGCCAGGAGAAGCCGCTAGGCCCAACAACAAAGGGCAAATGGACTGTCGTGTTGCTGCTGGTTCATTCTGGGCATGTGAAAACATGCACGGCCGCAGAAATACCAGAATGCCCTGCCTGCCTGCCTCGCTGGCACGGATCATGATGGAAAAAAGAAAACCTTTCATTGCGGTTAGGGGCAGGCCTGGATGAATCTGATCGCAATCACATCCAGAGTGTAGCTGAAGAAGTGCCGGCATGAATTTGCCCTATCTTTTTTTTTTTTTTTTTTTTTTTCTCTGAAAAAAACAGGTGTTTGTACTTTTTGAACACACTCTCTGCCTCCCCTGGTAAGGGCATAATAGCACCGCCACTTTCCCGAATGTATCTGGCTGCAATAACGGCCCCTCCTGAATGAATGTGATGGTGAACCATTCGACAGTTTGCCCCCCTTTCGCCACACAGCACTGTAGAGTGCACGCACTTGTGAAAGAAAGATTGGAAAAGTCGAATGCGCCTGAGGATATGACAAGCATCAATCCATCCCGACCTAACCCCACTCACCAAATTTCAAACGAAAGTAGACGGCTCAACCGAGGACTGTCGAAAGCATGCGAGTAGCAGGCTGGGGATTCAACAACTTTCAGTCTCTGACAACTGGGGAATTTTCTTCCCGACTCAGATTTGGACAGCCTGTGTGGCGAAGAGAAACTGTCGAAAATAGCATTTTCAACAGTGGTGCGGCGAGGCCCTAATACAATAAGTAAAGGTGCCAAGGGGCACCCCTGGGGCCCTGACGCAGGGACCTAGACAATTTGAACTCCTCTGACAACTGGCCGCTCACTATGACCGATGACGAAGCTTGGGAATACATTGCCTTCACATAGGAGAGAAAATAAGGTCCAAAGCCCATTTTTGACAGGGCGGTTAGGACAAAAGTTCAGCCCGCTTTCAGCCTCTTTCGACACCACTACAAAACCCTTACGGTTTTCATCGTTCCAACCCTCCCTTTTCACGAAGAAAAAGATGTCAAACTTGTTTTCACATTTGCGGCCATAAGGGCGGGCCCTACAAAAGTAAGGACTCCCCACAGCCAAAAAAGACCTTGACGTAAGGATGCCCATGGACTTCGTGGAGGTGACTTGAAAGTAGGGGGTGGCACCCTTACATCCACGAAAAAACCGTTTTTTTTTTTTGTTTTTGTTTTTTTAACGTCAGGTGTGTCCTTGGCATTCCTGGTCCAATGGCGGTTTTGTCTGGTAGACCGCGGGACCGCAGTCCGACGGCAACCTCCAATGGTCGTCTGGTTCTCGTCCTGTGACCCTGCAGTCCCTCCGGTTCACCATTTCAGCTGGCGTTTGGAGGCGACCGTTGCGGAGGTCTGTGTGGAGGCAATTGAGATGGCCTTTGGCGGTCTTAGGTTCGAATTAGAACGCAGCTTGTCCAGCATGACTGTCGGCACAGCTGCCCCTCCGCTGTCGTCCTTTCCTGTGATCTTGTATATTGCAGTCCTCAGCAGTCAGCCGTCCATGCTTTGTTGTCATCGAAAGTTGACAGCGCCGTCCGTTGTCCTTTGCTGGAGGAGCGCATGGCTGACATGGCGAGGAAAACAGCTCTGCTAATTTTCCTGTTCGTGGCGTTGGTACGTTTGATCATCCTGCACTTGTGCCAACTGGTGGCACGGAATTTGAATTTGAATTGTAAGGGTCCACGTGCACGTTCTCCTTGTCGGCGGATGACATCGAGCGCCCATATCACAGGCCCGCCTGTGATGCGCAACCTCACGCCCTGCGCTGTGTTCCGTACTTCGAACGCCGATCAGAGTGGTTGGGGTGTGGCCGAGGATTTTTGGCCATGGGGTTGAATCACCCGGGTGTGACGAACCAATTCCTGTTCCGAGCGATTTTTTGCACGATGACAATATGGGGTACTAAGATGGGAAGGATGGGCCAATTACGGGTGATCGGGATTGAGGGGAAATTGCATTGGTGTCCTCGCTTCTTCGCCTTTTTGCGTCGCTTCTTTTCGGATGGTTGGGTTCAAGGTGGGGCAAGTCCTGGGATGATCGGTTGAGTGGCGCGCTGATGTGCGTCCAATACGTTGCATAGAGTACACGTACGGGGGCTTTCCGTACGAAACGTACAGGTAATTTTTGTACGGGATCTGTACGGGAACCTGTACGGGAACCTGTACGTCTTGTACGCCCCCGT